AATGAGGGGGTCCATGGCCCCCCCTGGACCCCATGTGGATCCGTCTTTGCTTATGATGCAAATTAGAAAAATCAAATTGATGTTTAATTATTATAAAGAATTAAATTCTAAAAAAATATTTGTGCATATTATGTAAAATATTTGTACACAATTTTTTATTTTAAATTTATTTAGATAACTTAAATTAATTAAATTAATAAATAATATTAACGTACATTAAATATTTCATTACATAAAATAAAAAGAAGAAAAAGACTATATCTATAACTTTTATAAATAATAATAATAATGACATTATATTACAACAAGTTTTATAATAAAATAATAACTGAGTATTATACGAAGAACAAGAATAAATAAATTGTTATTTTTATTATATCAAAAAATAAATATATATACTAAAATTAAATTTATATTACTATAAACGTGTTAACAGGATGATAAATTAATTAATTTACGGGCTAGAGCTAAGCTCAAGTTTAACGTCCCGACAAAAAAATGACACTAATGAAAAGAGGTGAAAAATAGATGATCCAACTTTATTATTTTTTATGCCTTAACGAACAAGTCCTATAGAAATGACTCATTTAATATCTCTGTTCCGTGCATCGCATGATCTACTTAACGGACAAACTCTATGAAAATGACTCATTTATATTTTTGTCCCGTGCATCGCACGACTACGTACTCGTATGATTAGAGAAGTCTGTGTGATTAATTGTTTAATCCACAACTTGGTGGAAGGATTAGACAGGTTGTCCAAGGAAGGTGCCAAATGGATGGGTTTATGCCCTACAAAAAACTTGATTTTAGAAGAAAAATAAATAAATTAAAATCCACAGAAAAAAAAAGAAAAAAAAAAAAGAAAAAACCAACTTTAATAAATTTTGATTTGTATAATTTGTATGGTTGTGAGGTTATTAGATTCCTTTTCGAAGCTACCCTTTCATTTGAGCATCTAAAATCTCCTCACCTTTAACTCAGATTCTTTGTCTTCACAAATCTGTATATAATCATTGAGCTAAATTATTGCCCTCATGCTTTAAAATTAGAGTATCAACAACTTTGTTTTTCTATATAACTTAATTAATACTGATTATTTTATTTGTATGTGACACTCAAATGATTTTATTCAAACTCACATGAAAAATTGAAAATCTCATGAAGAGTGAGTACATATTTGGTGTAAATGTGTGATAAATTCTTATAATCATATGATGTGTTCAACAAGGGTCTAAGCCATCATTAATTGTAAGAGGACATTGATTTGAAATTGCCAGCTCAAACTTTAAAGCTAATGTTTCTAACAAAAACACAACATGAAAGTTTGACCTAACAATGCAAATTTAATTGATTAATAAGACTAAACGATATGTTGGAGGAATTTTTTTAAAATTTATTATAATAACATATATTTTTTATTTATTAATTGGTATTGAAAAACCTACACGAATAAAAAAAAATAGCATGAATAAATACTGCAACATAATAGGCATTTAATATACAATAGAATGACAAAAATCCGGAAAATTATAAATAACCAAGCAGCTGGCTACTTTGTCAGTAGACCTTAATTTAATTTCAATTAATGGCCATAAAAAGAATCAATACTCATTAATGGCTCTTCAAGATTAGGGACTGGAGAAATATGGGCCCTAATTAGTGCTGAAAGCGAGTCGAGACTCGAGACAAATCAAGCAATGGTTTTATCGTGTTGGGCTCGATTATTCATACAACTGCTCGAGCTCGATGAATTGAACATTTTAAAGCTCGGAAGTCGCCTAAAAAAAAGAAAAGAAAAGAAAGCTCGGAATCTGTTTGAGATTGACTCGAATTTTGCGTAGTTCAATTCGAAATTGCATCTAAGAAATGTTATTTGGAAGTATTTGGATAATTTTACGTATATTCGAACAACTCGATAAGCACTTGAGTGTACGTAGGTGTGAGCAACAGTGCGGTTCGATGAAAAACTGCACCGAACCCAAAAAACTGAAAAATCGAACCGAGCAAAAACACTAACCGAACCAAAGCTGAATCAAAAATATTTACACTAAAATAATCAAATCGAATTGCACCAAAATGCACGATTCAACCCGAGTTTTGGTTTTTTGGTTTTTCACGGTTTTTATATACGTTTTATTCAATTTGGTGTGGTTCGGTGCAAAATAATCGCACTGAACATAACAAAATCGAAAAGTGGACTTATGAAAAACTATAACCACACTGCACCGCACCGTGATATAGAAAAATTCCAAACTGAACAACACCGAATTGCACAGTTTGACGTGTTTTTCAATTTCAACTCGATTTTGCTTACTCTTACTCGAGTGAACAAATTATAGGCTGAAACTCAAATTCAAAGTGCTCAAACTCGAGTCAAATGTTGACTTGAGCGATCGCGAGTCGGTCAATTTGTTTATTGGTGATCATTAAAATTAATCACCCTATTTAGAGGATACTACCAATTAAGTACTAACAAAAACCAAAAATAGTAACAAAGCAGCTGTGCCTAATAAATTATGATTTTATAGTGTCACATCTCCAGGATCTTATTACTGAAATATAGGTTTCGTTTTAACATAAAAATTAATGCTTAAACTTTATTTTCGAAACTTGATTTTTGCGAGAAAATTTGTTATACGCATTGCAAATAGGTGATGTGTNAAAGACAACAATATAGATACAAGTAATCTGTAGCTTTCAAGGAACCCCTAATTTCCTGCTCGAAATAATTTTCTGCCACAATATTTTAGGTAAATTCTCAAGAAATTCACTTTTCATAACTTTCGGTCATGAGTCACAATCAATTCTAAATTCACTATTTAAATAATCAATTTTGTTATATAGGACTAACCACTATGCAAACATACTCTTTTTGTGAATATATATACTTTTCTTGAAAAATTGTAATATATTGAAAAATAAAATACACGTACAACGTTTAATAATATTAGTCTGCATTTGTGTTTATATATTGACTCGTCTAACTATTCTGTCTCGTAAAAAAAAATTGTGAATAAGAAAATATTACATCATTTATCATATTATCATACTTCCATCATTTATATTTTATGCAATAACTCTCAAATTCAAAATTCCATCTCTTCGTTTCAAACTTATAATGATTCAAAATTCATGCCAAGAAATAGAAACTGATTTTTGGGTTGACAGAGAAGATGGGCTTCCTACACATTATGGGCCATAAATAGAAACTGGTTTTGGGTTGACAGATAAGATGGACTTCTATTTACCGCCCTCCTTATTACTACGTATTGTCTATATTTGAATAATTTTGCCTCTGNAATTATAATTGATTATCTTATTAAATTTTATTATTATTATGTTAGCACTTAAAAATTATTATATTATATAACATTATTTTAATTATCTGTAACAAAATACTAATTATCTGTAAAAAAAATATATATAGCATTTATAATTATTGTCTACTAACAAAAATATACATTAAATAATGTAACGATTTATAGTTATATTTTAAAATAATACCTTTTTTTAAATAAAAATTTATTTCTAATACTAATTAAATTTCAAATAATGTAACAAATAATTTTACAAGATAATCAATTCTAATTTATAACATAATAATTTTTAAGTTCTAACATAATAATAATAATTTTTATAAGATAATCAGTTATAATTTATAACGTAATAATTTCTAAGTTCCAACATAATAATAATAGATTCTAATTTATAACATAATAATTTGTAAATTCTAACATGACTTCTAAAATAAATAAAAAAAATTGATTTGTAAAAAAAAAAATCTAGTCGGCCGGCGTTACCGGCCGATCGGACTTTTTTTAGTGTTTTGAATAACTATTAAGGGCAAAACGGTCAGAGAGGGACAATAAGTAATAAAAGAGGGGCAATATTTAGTGGTGATTATTTATGGATTAAATTAGTTTTTATTTGGTTTATTTTTTAACTATAGTTTTTGAAAAAATGTGGTATAGTTAGTTGTTAGTGGATATATTAAAATAATATTTAAATATTTAAAGTTGATTTGATGTAAAGTAGGAGAAAAATGATTGAGAGTGATGGTTTGTTAAAATTATGTGAGTGGATGAATAGTGAATTAAAATTGACATGATGTATAAGAATGATTGGTTGATGTTATTTAATTGTATTGATAATATTGGAGATAGTGAAATTGGGTTAAATTTAAGTTAAATTTGAGTTTTGATTATGTTTTTTTTTTTTTAACTGTAGAAACTATATTCAATCACTTTTTAGTAATTCACGACCTTTTTCGTTTGACATTAGATTAGATGGGCTTCCTTGGCGTTATGGGCCTAAAATAGAAACCCACTATGAAATGGAGGACCTAAGGAGTATATATTGTTCAAGAATAAACAAGTGCTACTATGGAGTTTAGACTAATTAATTATTACAGACATAATGTTTTCGATATTGTGTTTTTCATGTAGCTTATGGTTTAAAAATGGTTACAACTTACAAAAAACAATCTTCGAGAGTTGACCCAATTAAACCATTCATATTCTTATACAATTTATTCTATTTAATTTTTTTGTAATTTCTTGTCAAATAGCCACCCTTTTTTAACGTCAGTTGCAAAAATATCTTGGGCCATTGTTGATTTTTATATACAGCTCGGTGTTCATTCCCAATTCAGTTTTGTTGAATGAATCTAATTTCTCAATTTTTGTAATTTCAAAAGACAATTGGACTACTTGGTACTAATTTAAGCCGTGTCAAATCCCTTCTCTAGAGAGAAATATAGTATTATTATTACAAGAGAGAAATATATTAAATATTCCGACACGAACATATCTTTTATTTATATTATTATTTTTAAAATGTAATAATTTTGTATAAATAAATATAACTACCTATTTTTCCTCATTTTTCTTCTCTCCTTTTGGAACCCATATTTGACCAAAACCCATGAACAAGCCACACCATTAGCACAACAAGCAGAAAACATAACATTATTCTTTCCGGAAAAAAAGAAAAAAATCATGGGCGGCGCGTGGCTCATTTTATTGACTTCCTTTTTACTCTCCACCGCCGTCAAGGCTTCCCAATGTCCCACCGAAGGCAAGTCTTTTGCTTATCCATTTATCTGTACCTATTTTTGTTGGATGTTTCATTTTCTGTATGTAGTACTTTCACTATCTGCTGTGCATTTTATCGAACAGCTGGTGTGCCTGAATTTAAGTCAGGTTTGTGACCTGTTTCTCATGATTTATTTATTTATTTATTTCAATTTGTGCTTGGGCAGATGTACCTATCGTACGAAATATCAGTGAGCTCGAACAGGACAGCTATGGTATTCCTGGGTTATCACATATTACTCTTCAAGGCTCAGTCATGCACGGTTTGCAGGAGGTAATAAAAAATTAAAAATACTTAATTTATTATCTTCAATTTTGTTCTTTTCCTCAGACTGTGTAGTTTCTTGTTTAATGATACTGTCTTGTCTGGAAAATCAGAATTTCTGATAATACCTTGTTTATGAAATAGTACAAATTTGTTTTATATTTTGGTTACAAAACCCATATTTTTTTTGATATAATAATAACAATACTAACAAATGAAAGTGAGAGGACTAACAATGTGATCCTTCTGCATTTGCCACACTAAAATTCATGGTCCAAATGACAATTTTTTGTTCATTTATTTATCTTGAATCTATTAAAGCTCGAGATAGTTACATGAACTACATTGTGGTTTGGCCTAATTCCCCAGACGAAAAAAGAAAAATCACTCAAATTTTGTAAGCTATTCTATTCAACTCCGATAATCTTGGCCTGAGGCGCTATTTTGTTTAGAATATAAACTAATATCAATGGTTATTTGTAATCGAGGTAACTAGCTTCGGGCCCTCTGAAATTAGAGTAAAGCACGACGAATAATTTTCTAATTAACAATTAATTGTCTATTATTCCACCTCTTAATAATGATAATGCATACTAATTACTTTTACTACTATTGTCGATGAACAGATCGAGACGTGGCTTGAGACAGTTGCTCCAGGAGCCGGGACTCCAATTCACCGGCACTCGTGTGAGGAAATCTTTGTTGTTCTAAAGGGCAGTGGAACTCTGTATCTTGCTCCTAATTCGTCCCATCAGAAATATCCGGGCAGTCCCCAAGCTTTTCATATTTATGCAAATAGCACATTTCATGTTCCGGTCAATGATGTTCACCAGGTATGTATGTTGCTAGTGCTAGGTACCCTTTTTCTTTTTATTTTGTTTTCCTTTTTCTTGTTTTATTCGTGGTCCATGTCAAATGCAAAAGGTTGTGTCAGTTCAGAAGCTCTTCAAACAAAGTACCTATATTTTGAAATGTTAATCGATCTACAGACAATGAGTCTCGATCGACCTTGGCAGTTTTTTTTTTTTTTTGTTTAATTTATTGAACATGCAATTTTCTATTTTGCCACAGATATGGAACACGAACGATAAAGAAGATTTGCAGTTTCTAGTTGTGATATCTAGGCCACCGATGAAAGTGTAAGATTTTCCTTTCAAGCTCTGTTCATGAGAAAATCGGCATTCATATCGATAAGTATATTATGAAATAGTGTGTGTGATTTTGTCATGATTTTGTTCTTGAATCAGGTTCCTATATGATGATTGGTCGATGCCACATACAGCTGCTAAACTGAAATTCCCCTTCGTTTGGGACGAAAAGTGCTATCAAACACCACCAGCTAAAGACGAGCTTTGACCTTTAAAGATTGAATTCTGTTGCGAGGCTCTGTGATCGATATCCAATGGGGTTTCTGTTCTCTTGTCGAAAACTTTGAACTAATCTTCGTTTCGTTCGAATAAAAACACTCCTTATTCTCCTTCAACCTGTGTTCCTTTTCGATTTAGCTCATTGCATGTCCACGTGCAAGTTGTATGAGTGTAATTTGTGTGTAATATTTGTGAAACCTCACTCGATTATGTTGAATGAAAGTATTGTATCAGAGTGTAATTATGTGTGCGCATTATTTGTGATATTTCAAATTCGTGTAACCTCCTAGGTACAGAAAAATAAAAATATTTCTATTTTTTTTTTTTTTTTTGG